GAGGGCAGTGTCACTGGCCCTCATATGTGGGATCCGAACCGGGGCCCTCTGGCGTCCCAAGCCAGTTCTTAACCATCGCGCCACTCGGCCGAGCCTGCTTTATTTTTTATGCTTTAGGAATTATCAAATGACCTCTCGTTATAAAGGACGACGATATTGCTCTTTCACACACACACCCATTCTTTCAGTACAGTATGCAGTGATTTGAATTATATCTTTCTTTGGTGTTCACATTATCAAGTCCATGGAAACAATGGTCACAACTGAGTCATTACTCTGATGACATTTCTTTCTCTCCTGACATTTTGTTTTCCTTAGTTAACACTTGTCTCCCCCAATCCCTGTGTTGTTTGTTCTCTGTTATATAGGCCAGTACTTCTGCCAACTGTCTACCTCTTTCTAGCTGGTCAAAGATATCTGGTAATTCATTTATTTCATTTTCTCGGAGCATTCTCTCCTGGAGCCTTTTTTTAAAAAAAGATTTTATAGGGGAATTGGGTGAGGGGAACAGCATTGGGTAATTGGGGAAGGAGAACAGACAAGTTGCTGTCCTTTTTTGTTCTTCAGTCTAGTTGTGGAGGACGTCGCTTCACTGGCCCATGTTAGTATTATCATTGCGCTTTTCCTGGGTGAGGCACATTGGTCGCCAGCCACTGGACAGCCGCTCATGGCGGTTCACAGCAGCTCACACCGGCTGCTGGCCACTCATGGTAGCTTATGGCAGACCACGGCAGCAGGGGCTGCAGCCTACGCCATCATCAGCGACTCATGGCAGCCCAGCTCCAGGTCGAGCTGTTGTTCAGCATCTTAGCTGTAGAGGGCGCAGCGTCACTGGCCCTAATGTGGGGTCCGAACCGGGGCCCTGCTGCTCAGAGCTGGCGTCCCAAGCCAACTCTTAAGCAATGTGTCACTCGGCTGGCCCCTCTCCTGGAGCCTTTTGACTTGCCCTCCAGGCCCACTGCCCAGCCACCCGCCTAGGCTCCCTTGCCATCATCCTGGAGACTGTATTTGCCTCTCTTTTGGCTTGGGGCCCTTGTTCATAGATTCCATCACTATAATTTTCTCAAGTTCCTCTCTGGTTTTGGTGGAACATCTTCTCTAGTAGCTTCCAGAGAAAGAATGCAGAGGAGGTAAACTATTTGAGTACTTCCATGTTGGAAAATGTCTTTAGTCTAACCTCACAAATTGACAGTTTGAGTGTAGAATTCTAGGTTGGAAAATAATTTTCCTCCCAAATTTGAAAGGCATTAGTTCATTGTGCTCTAGTTCCCAGTGCTTTGCTAAAAAGTTTGAAAACATTCTGACTTATGATTGTTTGAATATGACCTATTTTTTTTCTCGCTGACAGTTATTCTCTCAGCATATTGAAGATATTATTCAACTCTCTTCTGAATTTCATTGATGCCATTGAGAAGTCAGCTCTCAGTCTAAAAGCCATGGTGTTAAAAGTAATCAGCTTTTTAAGTCTGGCTGCTTTTAAGATCTTGTGTCTAAGTGTAGATCAATTTCTGTTCTTCCTGTTTAGGATTTATTGGGCTTCTTTGATTTATGTCTTTCATCAGTTTTGGAAAGTTATCAGTAACTATGTCTTAAAATCTTGCCACTGCCTCAATTTGTCTTCTCCTTGTGAGCTGGCAATTAGATTTTTCTTTTAGACTTTTTTTTAAAGATTTTTATTGGGGAATTGGGGGATGGGAACAGAGCTAGGGAATTGGGGGAAGGGGAACAGACAAGTTGTTGTCTTTTTGTTCTTCAGTCTAGTTGTGGAGGATGTTGCTTCACTGGCCCAAGTTGGCACCATTATTGCGCTCTTCCCGGGTGAGGCAGATCAGTTGCCGGCTTCTGGACGGCCGCTCAGGCTGGCTGCTGGCTACACACGGTAGCTCATGGCAACCCACTGCCACAGGGGCAGCAGCCTACGCCATCGCCGGCGACTCATGGGCAGCCCAGCTCCAGGTTGAGCTGTTGTTCAGCATCTTAGTTGTAGAGGGCAGTGTCACTGGCCCTCATATGTGGGATCCAAACTGGGGCCCTCTGGCGTCCCAAGCCAGCTCTTAACCAACACGCCACTCAGCCAGCCCTCTTTTAGACTTTTTAACTTTACCTTCCATGCCTTCTATTTTTCAATTTTTTCAAATATTCTATTTCTTTGTGCATCTGTGCTGTATTCTAGATGGTTTCTTTAGCTCTGTTGTACAGTTTGCTAATTCTCTCTCCAGCCATTTCTAACGTATTAAATCCAAATATTAAACATTTAAAAACTTAAAAATTGTGAAATCTGGCATATGTACATTAAGGTACAGAAAACATCAACATACAGTTTAGGAAATAATGATAAGGTGAACATACCTTTAACTACTATTCAGGTCAAGTACCCTGTCCTCCACGTGTCTCTCCCAATCCCCGTCCCCTTCTCCCACCCTAGTGGGAACCACTATCCTAACGTTTATGCTACCAATGCACATGCTTTTCTTTATACCTTTGCTTCCTGTGTATGCATCTATAAACAACATCATTTTGTTTTGCCTGCTTTTGAACTTTATGTGAATGGAACCCTATATATTGATAGTATGGATTCTTTTGTGTTTGGCTTCTTCTGTTCAACATTATGCTTGTTCATTCATGCTTCCAAGGCTGTAGTTCATTTTCATTGCTGTGTAGTAGTATTTTTTTTGCCTATATTACAGTTTGCTTACACATGCTACTATCGACGGGCAGGTGGATTGTTCCTAGCAGTTGGCTGTTGGGAACAATAGTGTACCCATCTCCCAAGGACATACCTAGAAACGCAATTGCTGAGCCATTCTGTATGCATGCCTTCAGCTTTACAATATCACCAAATGTTTTCCCAAAGTGCTTGTACTAGTTGCTCTCCCACCAGGAGTGTTTGAGAGTTTCTGTTGCTCCTTATCTTAGGCAACATTTATTATTGTTGGTCTAAGTTTTGCCAGTCTGCTGGATGCATAGTGGTAACACATTGTGTTTTTTGAAACTGAGGTATAATTTGCATATAATACAAAGAACCAAGCTATCTTTACAATACAATCACTCCTAACTTGTCACTGGGAGAGTGTTTTCAGATCAAAAATGGTCATGAAGGCACTTACGGTTAAAAAGTAGAAACAGAACAGAGGCCATATCTGTTCTGACCCCATTGATATCTCCTAGCTCACCCCCGTTCACACTGCCCTGGTCCACTGTGTTCCAGCTATGTTGCTATGTCAATCTTTATTTTAGACATGTGAAAGCTGACCCTCCGAGCAGTTTATTGACTTGCTCAAGGTGCCAGAGTTGTAGTATAGTCAGGATTTGGACTGGGCTCTGTCTTAAAGGTGCTCTTTCTGTTATCCTTTGCCATGTGAGAGACTCATTTGTGTATATCACAGTAGAATTTTCTACCCTGGACTATCAGCTCTATGCGAGCAAAGAAAGTGTCTGGCTTCTGTACCACATGGCAGGCACTCAGGAAATACGTGTTGAAGTAATGATTGGATGAAGGAACAAGCCTGTTAGGATGCAAAGTTCTCTGCCTACGTTTTCTATTTGCCCGGCAATAGCAATACAGCAAGGCACATGGCTTAATGGGAATGAGTTTATTCCATACTTTACAAGAACATTTTTTTTATAAAATACGGTGCACAGTTGGTAATTGTTTTTGTTATTTAAATATTTTATTGGAGAATTGGGCAAGGGAACAGTATTGGGGAATTGGGGAAGGGGAACATTGTTTTTCCAGGACCCATCAGCTCCAAGTCAAGTTGTTGTCTTTCAATCTTAGTTGTGGAGGGTGCAAGCTCAGCTCCAAGTCCAGTTGCCACTTTGAATCTATTATAGTTGCAGGGGGGCACAGTCCACCATCCCATGCGGGAGTTGAACCAGCAACCTTGTTAAGAGCACGCGCTCTTACCAGCTCAGCGGCAGCTCAGCTCAGGTGCAGCTCGGGCGCAGCTCACTGGCCCATGTGGGAATCAAACTGTCATCCTTGTTGGTCAGAGCTCATGCTCTAACCAACTGAGCCACCTGGCCGGCCCCACAGATGGTAATTCTTAAAAGAGAAGAAGCCCAAGAACAGAAGGGGTAGGTGTGGAGTGGGGGATTCTAGCTATCTGGGGGTTGTAATGAGGTACACCCATAGAGCAAGGAATAAGGAATTGGATGCTAAAAAGGAGGGAGAGAGGCCCAGAAGATGAACTCAACTTCTTCAGTCTGTGTTGGGCCCATCTTGAATGCATAAATCTTGCATATGTGACTATATGTGCATATGTGTAAATACTTTTATAGAGTAAAGCAATAATGTGTTCAATTCTCCTACTGTTTGCAGCTCACACAAGTACCGATTTTGTGATTTGTTTCCCAATGCAGGCAGAATACACTAAGAGCCCAAGTGCAACTCTCCCCTCCAGCATGCCCTTGAGCAGGTCTGTGTCATCCAGCGAGGATGGCCCCAGTAGCCACTCCAGCCTCTCAGATAGGGAGCTGGTCCGGAACTTACAGGATAACATCAAGCACCGCATCCTCCACCTCTCAGAGCAGCTGAGAGTGGAAAAGAACAATAGGGATGAGAACACCATGGGCTATATCAAGTTGGTGTCCAAAGCAGACCAGCTCCAGGCCCCCCACATCCGGCAGGCCTTCGAGAAGGTGAACCAGCGTGCCTCTGCCACCATTGCCCGGATTGAAAGAAGGCTCCATCAGTGTCACCAGCAGCTGCAGGACCTGGAGAAGGGCTGCTGGCCCAAGGAACACAGCCCAGACCACGGCCAGCAGCCCAGTGAGAATACCCCACTTTCAGAGCCCCCCAAGCCAGGTGAGGAAGACTGCCTGTCCACCAACCTGTCTGACATCATCAGATATTTCCCTCTGGAGAGTGACTTCCCAGCCTTTCATCAGGGGAAGTCCTCAGAGACAAAGCGTGTGGCCCAGCAGCAAAACCTACTGTTGCAGAAGGTGAAGGAAGAGCTGAAAGAAGTAGAAAAGTTACACCTCAGCCTCCAGGTGTCCTACCAGAGCCTAAAGGAGAGGTACCTGACAGACCTGCAGGTGTTGCTGGAGTCCCTTCAGGAAGAGAAATGCAGGTGAGGTGTAACCCCTTCTGCCACCCTGGCTCTGGGGATAGCCCCCAGGACCGTCTAGAGGAGGGTGATGGGGAGCCGAGGAGAGGGGAACAAGCAGCTCAATCAATGTTCCTCTTGGCCACTGGGCCCCGCAGTTGAGAGGGCTCATCCCATGTCCGAGGTTGCATAACAGCCTGGCCCTCTGCTGGCAAATGAGACTCCAGCTCAGGGTCCAGAGAGGCAGTCCAGCAGCTGCTGCTCTGACTGGGGTGGTGGAAGACAGCCATCATCAGTTAGGGAGGTGTCTTGCCATCCTGTCTGCTGGAATGGTGTGTCAGGCAGGACTGGAGTCACCTCGCCAGCCCTGATCCCTTCACTTGTGCTCATGGCTGAGCTGGGGCACAAGGTCCCATATGGGACGTTTATTCTGAAAATGTCTCCTGGGGAATGTTTTCTCCCCACTGTACAGTGGGTCAATTTTATTTTCATCTAAGACAAGACTAGTCCACTCTCCCCACAAAGGCAAACTCAGTCTCTCAAAGGACCCCCTCCATTCCTATTTGGTCACTTCTGAGGGTCCCACCAGCCACCAAGGGTGTCACGATCCTTTCCCTGATCCCTGAAGTCTTTTGACTTTATTAACTCTAATCCTTTCTCTCTTATGTACTGAACAAATGGGTTTTATTGTGTCCATTTCTATATTTCTCACGCCTAAAGCTGTGCCTACCATTTAGTAAGCACTCAATAAATGTTTGTTAAATAAGTGGAGGGAAAAAGGAGGGTGGGGGCCGGCCAAGTGGCGCGATGGTTAAGAACTGGCTTGGGAGGCCAGAGGGCCCCGGTTTGGATCCCACATGTGAGGGCCAGTGACACTGCCCTCCACAGCTAAGATGCTGAACAACAGCTCAACCTGGAGCTGGGCTGCTGTGAGTCGCCGGCGACGGCATAGGCTACAGCCCCTGTGGCAATGGGTTGCCATGGGCTGCCGTGTGTAGCCAGCAGCCAGCGTGAGCGGCCAGCAGCCGCAGTGAGCGGCCGTCCAGAGGCCGGCGACTGGTCTGCCTCGCCCGGGAGGAGCGCAATGATGGTGCCAGCTTGGGCCAGTGAAGCAACGTCCTCCACAACTAGACTGAAGAACAAAACGACAGCAACTTGTCTGTTCCCCTTCCCCCAATTCCCCAGCGCTGTTCCCATCCCCCCAATTCCCCAATAAAAATCTTTAAAAAAAAAAAAAGGAGGGTGGGATTCACTTAGATGAGCCCAGATTCTCAGCATTTTCATGAAAGTAAGAACTCTGTAGTCCCTTTAGCACCTGTGTGTATGTGGGGAAGAAGAGTGGGGAAACAATCCTCTTCTGTTTTCACTGGGAAACGCTACCTGCATTTACACTGCTTGACAAATCCATAAAGCACAGTTAAAGAGTATTATGGGGCAACCCACTGTCAAGTAAGATAACCAATCAGAATTACAGCTTTCTTTTGGAGGTGATGTTCATTGGACATGGCAACCCAATCTAAAATCTTGGGACTCTCGGGCCAGCCGAGTGGCGCATTGGTTAAGAGCTGGCTTGGGATGCCAGCTCTGAGCAGCAGGGTCCCGGTTTGGATCCCCCATTAGGGCCAGTGATACTGCCCTCTACAGCTAAGATGGTGAACAACAGCTCGACCTGGAGCTGGGTTGTCATGAGTCACTGGCGACGGTGTAGGCGCCAGTGAAGCTGCAGTGGGCTGCCATAAGCTACCGTGAGTGGCCGGCAGCCAGCATGAGCTGCCAAGAGCCACCATGAGTGGCCATCCAGAGACTGGCGACCAATCTGCCTCATTCGGGAAGAGTGCAATGATAATACCAACATGGGCCAGTGAAGCGACGTCCTCCACAGACAGACTGAAGAACAAAAGGACAGCAACTTGTCTGTTCCCCTTCCCCGATTCCCCAGCGCTGTTCCCCTCCTACAATTCAATAAAATCTTTCAAAAAAAAAAAAAGGAAACTACCAAAGTGTTTTCCAATATGAATATACCATTCTACATTCCCACCAGGAGTGTATGAGCGTTCCAATTGATCCACACACATGCCGACACTTGGTATGCTCAGTCTTTGACATTTCAGCTTCTTAAATGCAGCCACAACTTGGTGGGCCCCAAACTCCAAATTGTGTCACCCTAGCCCAGGTTTTCCAAACCTCAACACTATTGACATTTTGGACCAGGTGACTCTGTGTTGTGGGCACTATCCTGTGCATTGTAGGATGTTCAGCAGAGTGTCTGGTCTCTACCCATTAGATGCCAGAGATACTTTGGAGTAGTTTCCTACAGCTCTCATAACAAATTACCCCAAACGTGGTACCTTCAAACAACAGAAATTTATTCTCTCACAGTTTTGGAGGTCTGAAGTCTGAAATCAGCTTTCCTTGGCTGATGTCAGGGTGTCAGCAGGCCACGCTCTCTCTGGAGGTGCTAGAGGAGGATCCATTGCTGACCTCTTCTTTTTTTTTTTTTTTTAAAGATTTTTTATTGGGGAATTGGGTGATGGGAACAGCGCTGCGGAATTGGGGGAAGGGGAACAGACAAGTTGCTGTCCTTTTGTTCTTCAGTCTAGTTGTGGAGGACGTTGCTTCACTGGCCCAAGTTGGCACCATCA